TGAGAGTCATGTTGGCAACTAATGGAGTTTGAACTGTTTTGGCCTCAAGCATCTTAGCTTTAGCAAGCAATTCTAGAATGTATCGCCGTTGAGAGAGAATGGCCCCTTCAGTAGTAGGTAAAACCTCAATTCCTAGAAAGTAAGACAAGAGTCCAAGATCTTTGAGAGAGAACTTCTTCGCAAGGATTGCAATAAAATCATCTACCACGGCAACATTGCTCCCAATAATAATCAAATCATCAACATACACAATGAGATAAATAATATGAGTAGCATCTTTATAAACAAACAAAGATGTATCTGCAAACGAGTTTATGAATCCAACTTGAACCAGATAGTTACGAAGTTCTTGGTATCACGCACGTGGTGCTTGCTTGAGACCGTATATTGCCTTTTGTAACTTGCAGACATGCGTTGGTTTGTCATTATCAATAAAACCTGGAGGCTGAGCAATGTAAACATCTTCAAATAAAGTCCCTTGTAAAAAAGCATTGTTGATATCCAACTGTCTTAATTGCCACCCATTCATTATTGCAATGCTTAAGATAAGTCTGACTGTAGTTGGCTTCACTACAGGGCTGAAGGTATCATGATAATCCACTCCTGGACGTTGATTGAATCTTTTGGCAACCAAACGGGCTTTGTACCTATCAACAAAGCCATCAGAGTTTCGTTTAGTACGAAAAATCCATTTGCAGCCAACAAGATTATAGCTATTATCTGGGGTAACCAGTTCCCAAGTCCCATTTGTAATCAAGGCATTAAATTCATCTGACATGGTTTTTCTCCATTTTGGATCTTTTAGAGCTTGAGAAACTGTGACTGGTTCAAGATCATTAAAGGTAGAAAGGTGAGTGTGAAGATTCAGCTTTTGAACTAGCTTGTGAATGTTGTTCCTTGATCTGGTTACCATGGTATGTGTAGTTATGTTTGTTGGTGTTTGGGGTTCGATAGGTGGTATAATGACGGTATTGGTTGGTTGTTGAGGTTGCTGTGAGACTTTCACCATTGATGGCGTAATGAGAGATTGAGTAGACGATGTAGTTATCTTTAGAGGTGGCGGAATCCAGGTGGATACGGAATTTGAGACAGATTGAGACTCCTGAGAAGTTATAACCTGGAAAGGAAAGACTGACTCCACAAACCTAACATGCCTAGATACAAATATCTTTGATGTTTTAGGATCCAAACAGTAATACGCACTTTGGGAGAGAGAATAACCAATGAAAACACAAGGTTTGGAATTTGAGTCTAACTTATGTGATGTGTACGGTTGCAACCAGGGATAACATAGACATTCGAAAATTTTGAGTTTTGCAAAGTTAGGAGTCTTATCAAATATTTTCTCATACGGTGAGGTAAGATTTAGTGTGGGAGTTGGCATACGATTTATGAGGTATACGGCAGCGACAAAAGCATGAGACCAATATTTTGTAGGGAGAGATGCATGAGATAGTAAAGCAAGACCCGTTTCAACTATATGAAGATGCCGACGTTCTGTTAAACCATTATGTTCAGGTGTATGAGGTGGTGTAGTGTGGTGAGAAATACCATTTGAAGAAAGAAAATTGGACATGGATACATATTCTCCCCGATTATCAGAATATAAGATTTTAATATTGTGATTGAAGTGTTTTTCCACTATGTTTTTAAACCTTATGAAGACTTCTTTAACATCCGATTTGTTTTTGAGAGGATAAAACCATATATACCGTGTGTAATGATCTACAAAAATCACATAATATTTGTAACCCTCAACAGAAAAAATGGGTGATGTTCAGACATCAGAATATATAATTTCAACTGGACGAGATGAAGTGACAGTAGACGTAGAAAAAGAGAGTTTGTGACTTTTATTGCATAAACATGCATTACATGAGACATTATTTGAAAAGGAGGAGGACAAACTCAAGCTATTTTTGGAGAGAATATGCTTTAAAATAGACGCTGATGGATGGCCCAATCTATTGTGCCACTCAAAGGTTGACGCCTTGACACTAGAGAAAGCAAGAATAGGACTAGATTTCGGCCACTCATATACACCATCTCTAGTTTGGCCTTGCAGCAGTGGTACCCCTGTGTTGAGATCCTTCACAAGAAAAGAATCAGGTAAGAATTCAATAGTAGCATTATTTGATTTGCAAAATTGAGAAATTGAAATCAAATTTCTTTTCATGGTTGGAACACAAAGAACATTGTTTAAATGAAAATTTTTATGGGGAGTTGAGAGAGTTGTTGAACCAGAATGAGTTATAGGTAACTCTGAACCATCGTCTATCATCATATCATCATTGCCATGATAAGGCGCGTGAAAGGCAAGATTTTCCAAATCAGCGGTGACATGATGTGAAGCTCCACTATCAAGTAGCCATGACGAGTTACTGGATGAGTTTGAGGCATGATTTTCCTTAGGCTGCCATGGAGCGTTAGAGTTGTTGTGATTTTGTTGTAGTGGCTGCAGCTTGTAGGAAGGACATTTCTTGGCTGTATGCCCTTGAATGCGGCAAAGTTGGCAGAAACCCAAATATGGACGTTGTGGGCGATGTCCAGAATTGGATGTCTATGTTTGAGCAGCATTGGGATTCGTAGAAAAGGAATTGTTGTTGAAGTTTCTGTTGTTAGATCTCCAAGTTGAATTGGTGCGAGTAGATACATGAGCAGTAATAGGAAAGGGTGTTTCCTGTTTGTGACTGACCAAAGATGCTTCAAAATTAAGGAGTTTTTCATGCAACTCTTCAAATGTAATGGTAATGTCCCTTGCTTGCACTGCCCGTATCAATTCCTTGTAGTCATCGCCGAGAGCTTCAAGGATTTTGTCTGTGAGATCTTCGTTATCAAACGGAGATCCAAGAAGAGCTAACTCATCAGCTCTTGCTTTCACCTTCTGGAGAAACTCAGTTATTATGTCAGACCCTTTGGTCATTTGATTGATTTGGTTTTTAACTTGCTTGATACGTCCTCTTGAAGGTGTGGCATATGTTTTGGCTAGAGTATCCCAAGCATCTTTTGAGGTTTTGGAATTTGCTATAAATGGAATTAAGGTTGGAGTAATGGAGCAAATTATAGCATTGAGGATCAGTTTATCTTGTCTAACCCAAAGAATGTGAGCAGGATTGCTGCAATTGGTGTTATTGTTTGTGATAGTGGGAGATGGGCATGGTTTTGAACCATCAACAAAACCTTGGAGATCTTCCAGGATAAATAATTGGTGGTTGTGAGTTTTAAAGGTGTTTGGACAGACACATTGATTGTGATTAATGTATTTTGAGGATCGTTGGTATTGCAAAAAGTGGGAGCAGAGTTTGTATTATTAACAGCCATGGTGAAGAAAGAATAAGAAGGAAAATATATATATATATATATATATATATATATATATGAAGAGCTTATTGCTCTGATACCATAACACAGTAAGAAATAGGATGGAATTTTGTATCTTTTTATTGAACTTGAAACAGGAATATATACAACAGGTTATACACCAGAATATCCTATTCTATAGGAAAACAGCTAACATAATCTGTACAAATTAATTTGAATAGATTTACAAAGTTGTTCCTTGATTCTAGGAACCATATACTGCTGTTAATTACCTGATCACATTTACTTTTCTCAGTTAATGAATCAGTACGTAAGTGACTACCGCTGCATTTTATAGACTTTAATTTGGTGTAATGGAAATTTATAAGAGCCATCCAAAAGAGTAAATTATAAATTAGTCCCTCTTATTTTGAAAATGAATTAATTAATCTTTTTAATTTTAAAAATTAATTATTTAATCTTTTTAATTAGGATTGATCACGATTAATTTTATATGGGAGAAGATTCAACCAGAGAAAAAAAAAGTGGTGGGAAAGAAACAAGCAAGAAATTAATAAGTTCACTTGAAACTTGAATGAATCTTTATCTTTGTTGGCTAGCTAAAATGAGTTGATTAAAGTCTGACAATAGTTTATATAATGTTTTAAAGTATGATAATAGTTTATATAATGTTGACTAAATACTGCTAATTTCTGATTTAAAACAATCCCCATATAGCCAATAAGTTTGAAAATGGCAGCGGTAAGTTCATTTTTTTAAGGGAAATGGCCAATAAGTTCGATGATATTTTTATTAGGTTTAGTTTTTAAGTTTTTTTTTCTTCTTCTCCTTAAAAAAATAAAATAAAATAATTAATAAAAAATATTTTATTTATTTTCCTATAATATCCTAAAAGTACACTTGAAAATTTGTTTTCTCTTTGAAAACTATGAAATAAGAATTTCTAATTCCAATGACAACATGACAATCAATAACTAAGATATCTTCCCAAAATATTAATTAAGATTTTTTTATAGGATAAATATATATACTTATTTGTTCTTGTATATAATACTCAAAATCTATTATCTATTTCTAAATTTCTAATTGTATTTCATCTCGTTTTTGAAAAATTTTAAAATGTTTAATCTGTTTTTTCGATCATAATTTTTTTTATCAAAATGCATTTTACTAAAAAAAAAAGTCACGACTTATGTATTCTATTTTTTTAAGTGTTTAAATTTTTATTTATTTTTTTGCATTTCGATCAGCGGCATTTTGGTCAAAATTATTTTATTTAGCTGAAAAAATTAACTCAAAAGACAAATTGAACATTTCAAATACATTTAGAGACAAATGAGATGTAATTAAAAACTTAGAGATAAACAAAAAGCTTTGAGTATTATATAAAGATAAATGAATATATTTATCTCTTTTATATTCTAGTACTCTATTTTTAATTTTTATATTAGTACACTAATGTGCAGTATTGACTTCAGGTTGCAAAAAAGATTTGCTTCTAGAACTTAATAAATTCCATTTCATGACAAAAGCAAATCATAAGTGAATAACATCTAAAATGAAACAATTATTAAAGAAGAGCTAAGGAAAGTGTATTTCATATAAAATGCCCTACTAATTTTGGCCCGTGTCGTCAGTGCTGTTATCATAAGAGAATAACATCTAAAATGATACCCTAGCTAGAAGTAATCAAGTTTGCATCGGCTTTGACTAGAAGTGATCAAGTTTGCATCGGCTTTGAAAATTGATGCCCATTGAAGGTGAGGAAGGGCATCTGCTATCTTCGGGAAATTTAACAAAAATAAAAGAACAACAAAAAAAAAAACAGAAGCATGCAAGATTTATTATTCATTAGATATGTTAAATTGTGAAGACTTGTATGGATGGGAGTTTATAGTAAAAGATGCTATATAGATCTAGCATAACCTAATTACTGAAATAAAAATCTACAATTACATTAATTAAATAAAATAAAGGAAATTCAAATGTTGAAATAGAAATTAAACATAGAATAAAAACATAAATAAATGAAATGAAATGAAATAAAACTAAAGCCTTTTTTTTCATCTTTATCACTTTTTCTGGCTGGGCTGGAGTCCAGCCCAATGTTCTTTTTCTTTCTCTTTTTTTTTTTTTTTTTTTTGGGGGGGACTGGAATCATTTGACGTTAAAAAGTCTTAATTTGTATGATTTCATATGCAAACCATCAATGTAGGTAGCTCTGTGACTGTCAGTGTTTGTGCTCCCATTTGCTGCAGAACACTCCATTGCATATTTTTGGAACCCCACGACAGTAACTTGCTTCCCTTTTACCAAGTTACGAGCACTTTCATACACATGTTGGCATGGTCGGTAGAATGTATCACCTCACCATGAACTGCTCCGGGCCCTTGTTAGGAGGAGGAAATTCAGGGATGTTGAGAACATCAGTGAACCATCCCAAGCAAAGAATCACAAAGTCCACTTGGTATACCTGCATTTTCAGTAAGACTTATGAGTATGACTAGAAGATGCTAGGAATCTGACAGCTTCGAATTCTTAATGTATTATTTGCACACACATCGCGGAAAACTTGATTTTAGGTGGAATAATCTGGAGAAAGTTTAATAATCCAACCTTTAGAGTGGTTACACAAGGAGGCAAATCTTGCATACAGGTCAACAAATGCATCATAGTTAATTTTGGATTTCCCTGTGATTAATTTTTGCTATTAATAGTGGTATGATTCACTCTAATTCACATGGCAAACACATGTGTCTCAGTTGAAAGGCTTTCTGTGTCTTGACTATCCATTTCCCTCTTGAGCTGCAAGGCTCACCATTGCCACTCCACTGGCTCCATGACTGAATCTCTTCATCCGACGATCCTTCGTAGTTGATGCCAGAAACTTTACTGTTGAACTTTATATGCTTAAGCATATCAAAATGATGTGTATATGACTTCACACAATCTAAGACTTGATGCAGGTCAGGGAAGAACTATATGACTGAGTCTGGCCAAGCAAAATCTGAGAACTGAAATGCTGGTTTGGGGTTTGGAGCTTTGTAGTCTCTATGGTATTTGTCCATACTCCATACTCCTCCTATGCTGCTTCTTGCTTCAAAGACAATTCGATTGAAACCATTTGAGAGAGCGTATTTACAGGCAAAAAGACGACTAATACCAGCTCCAACAATGGCCATCTGTTTCTCCATTGTTTAGTTTTAGATAGTTGTCAGTACCAGCTTTAAGCTTGAAAGTTAAAAACTCCATAAAAGGATGGTATAACAGTGAAGAATTTAACTGCATAAAAAATAAATCCTAATGCATGCACCTCATCAACTTCTTTTCTTGTTCTTTGTCATTGCATGATAAAATTATTTGGAGATCATAAACTAAGATGTCAGAAGTACCATTTCATTTCGTTGTTACCATAAGATGTAGTTTTCTAGAGAGAACCTAGCAATTTTTCCGACAACCTTATCCCATTAAATTTCACATTCAATGAATCAATCAGTAACCCTCTAACTCTATTGACTATAAAATATGGATGGTGCAGGATTTAAGTTCTAGGTGGTGAAGAAACTGGTAAAACTCATTAATTTGATGTTTGATCATTAATGTGGATTGTTACTTCTTTTGGGCAGTTGGAAGGAGACATTGCGCACAGAAATTATTCTTTCTTTAAATATAATGCCATCAACACATAATGCAGGCTAACAGAAGTTACAGAACTCCTTCCTGCAAAGCATACAAGGAATCAGGACTGGGATTCTAGTCCTATTATTGCTTAGAAATTGAGAACAAAATGTTTTACATGTTCATATGCAAACTAAGAAATGGGGAAATTGTTGTCTATGTAAAATGCAAATGACAGATCGCTGTATCCATTCTGCACGCGAAGACGTCTCCATGTCTTTAGGGGGAAACATAATCGGCAGGTCCATAGGGCTCAAACAATTCAGCAAAGAATCCCTTCTTTCTTTTTGGGTTCCATCCCATGTCTTTGCATAGTTGATCATTGTACCATATGTGAAGGGCACCGATGCATGATCTACGGTAATATACACCAGAATATTGCTTCATATACTGGTCCCATTTTGCAACATCTTTTTCCATCTCTTTTATGCTAGGTATCTTGAAAGTGCCATCAAGAAGTTCTGCCACCCACCGGCATCTCATTTCTGAGGTGTACAAGTTTGCAACGCTTTCTGAGAATCCTATAACTGCTAGTTGTGGAATTTGCGGATGAATACATTGTCTGAATGAAAAAAAAAAAAAAAAAACCAACCTTGTAAGATATATTGGTCGTTGTATAATTACTAATCATGAAACTTACTGACTTATCCCGTTTTACAAGAATACTTACCTGTAGAGAGGAACAGCAGCGTTAGGGGACCCAAGTATGGAGTCCTGAAACATTTTGGACTCAAAAATGTCTTTGAGCTTCTTTTCACCTTTATATCCTGTAGCCAATATGACCAAGTCGGTTTCTATTGGTGTATCCTCACCATGAACCTTTATGCCTTCTTTGCAGAAGCTAAAACTGGGAGCTTTCTTCAGTTTGATGCTTCCTTCTTCAACTTTATCATAGAATCCTTGTGGAACTGTTGAAATCAGACAAGAACTTAGTTCTTGAAGAAAACTGTGCTTTGGAACCATTCCAAACTTTGCCAAACGGAGCTTCTTCTTGATATCACTTTCGACGAATTTTGAAAATGCCCATCTCTGTGAATTTATTACAGATAAATCAGTCCTCTAGGACAACAACCTTTATGTCATAAAGCAAAGGGAAATTTACCAGAGGTGCAAGAATTGTTGCCAGCAGACTGAGTAGGAATCCTTCACCAGGCTTATGAACCATGAGCTCCGAGAAGCGGTTGAAATACAAATAAGGTAAAGGCACTCCCCATGGATTGTAGTCAGGGACATTCCAATGTTCAGTCCTGTATAAAACTCTGCACGGATGTTTAACCCCTGCATATATATATATATATATATATATATATATATATCAATGACCATAAGGTAAAAAATTACTGCACCAAAACTCAACAAAATTCGTACTATTTTTGTTACCATTTGTTGTAGAGCACTCCATTGCAATGTCCATTGCAAATTTTTGGAACCCCACGATGGTAACTCGCTTGCCTCTGACAAAGTCTCTAACACTTTCATAATCCATGTTGGCGTAGTCCATAGAATGCATCACGTCCCCATGAAATGCTTTCGGGCCTTTGCCAGGAGCAAATTCAGGGATGTTTGGAACATCACTGAACCGTCCCACGCAAAGGATCACAAAGTCCACTTGGTAAACCTGTGATGTTGCTAAATCTTAATTAGGATTATAAGATTCTAGGTGACTGAATTATAGTCACTTGATCAAAACCTTACAAAACCGTATGCTTAGATCATATCCCACAAAAATATTGATTTAACTCTCAGTAAAATAGTAGATAGGCATACCTGAGTTGAAGGGTTATGTGTGTCCTGTGCTTCAACTATCCATTTCCCTCTTGAGTTGAAGGGCTCCCCATTTCCACCCCACAAGCTCCATGACTGCATCTCTTCATCGGATGCGCCTTCATACTTGATGCCAAGTACTTTAGTGCTGAATTTGATGTGCTTAAACAAGTCAAAATGATGTGCATATGACTGCAGGTAATCCAAGGCTTGATGTTTGTCAGGAAAGAGTTCTGTGACTGAATCTGGCCAAGCAAAATCTGAGAACTGATATGCTGGTTTTGGAGTTTGAAGCTTTGTAGTCTCTACTGTATTAATCCATACTCCTCCAATGCTGTTTCTTGCTTCAAAAACAATTGGATTAAAACCCTTTGAGAGTGTGTATTTACAGGCAAGAAGGCCGCTAAGACCAGCTCCAATAATTGCTACCTGATTCTTCATTGCTTTATGTTTTCTGACAGCAGCTAGTCCCTTGTATATACACAAAATTTTATTTGCTGCTCTGTCAATGCAGGGTTAAATTATTTAAAAATAAACTAAAATGTAGGAGGTAAGAAATGAAAAGCATCTTGGAACTAACAATGTGACTATTATTTATGTTGTTCTTAATACTTTTGTGAAATCTTAAGAGAAGCTTCGACATAGCCTGCCAACCTTATCAACATCATCATAATCTTGTCCCATTTACTTTCCTCAGTTAAAGAATCAGTACGCCAGTGACAACCCCCTCTCTTTATTGACTTTAATTTGCTATGATGGATAGAAGCTTTCCAAAAAGATACAAAAAAACAAGCTAGTGAAGTAAATTTTGTGCTGGGAAGATTCAACAGAAAAGAAAAAGGGTAGCATGACAACATGACAATCAGTAATTAAGATATATAATATATATATATCTTCTCAAAATATTAATTAAAATATTTTTATATTCTTCATTTTTCTACTTGTTATTTTAGTGCACTAATGTACACGATTGGCCTCGGGTCCAAAGATAATAAATTCCACTTCCAGACACAAGCAAGTCAGAGAATGGAGGTGGTGGTTAGTATATCACAACCCTTCAGAATAAAGAGAAAAACAGAACGAAGTATAATTTTTTATACAAATCTTGTAGGTAAGACTAGTTGGATACTTGTGCTACGTTCGGACGGACAACCATTACATATATAAGGTTAACAATTCGTATATTGTAATGCGAGTAAAAAATTTTATTTTTAGTGATTAATATAAATCGAATATCTATATAGTTAATTTTTAACAAAACTAACGATATATATATATATATATTCAGAGTATATAGAATAAATATTAAAATTAAAAGAAAAAACCACCTAAATTATAGAAATATATCGAAGTAAATAGATTAAAATAAAAACTATAGCAAAATTGATTCGATAAATTCTGAATAAATATATATAAAAAAGCAAATAAAACTTGTGAATTTTTTGAGCTCATTGTTATTTTTTAAAAAAATTGAGCCAAATTATCTAAAACATATTTTTAGCTCTCTTTGTGTGTGTGTGTGTGTGTAAAACACTCATTTAAAAATATCAAAATAATATATTGTATAAATTATAATAATATATTTTAAAAAAATAAAACATCGACATTCTATATTTTTATTCCAAAATTCATATATTAAAAAACCAAATTTATTAACAAATAAAATTATATTAAAAAATTAAAAAAAAATTAATTTAATGAGAATTTTAATAAGAAAAAAATAATTAAAGAAATAAATTTTAAAAAATAAGAATAAAATAATCGGATATGTATGTTAACATCAATATCAAAGATATAATTAATATTGGTTCAGAGATATTAAAAGTATCAATAATATATATGTTTTCTTTTCCGATGAAGGGATCAATTATATATGACTACTTAATTTGTATAGTACTTATGCTATGATAATATGTATATTCCTTTAAGAGTTTCCTTTTGCCTCCCGGTGATTCAATCCCAAAACACATCAAGATTTAAAATAATTAGCCAATTTGTTTTTGTTCTATCATGAGATTGGTGGCCAAACTTTTAAAAATATAAAATAAATTATAAGAAGAAAAAAAGAGCAGTGGTCGCGCTTAATTGGTGTGTGTGTGTGTAATCCACTTAAATTATATGAAATATATCGAAGTGAATAGATTTAAATAAAAACTACTATAAAATTGATTTAAATAAATTCTGATTATATATTTATATATAACCAAATAAAATTATGAATTTTTTAAATAATTATTAATTTTTTGAAAAAATTCAAATCAAATTATTTTTTAATTGATTATTATTTTTAAAAAAATGAAGTCAAATTATTTAAAACACCCTTTTAGCTCTTTCTCTCTCATTAGAATTTATATAAGCAACACCACCATTTTTATATAAAAATTATAAAAATAATCAATCGTATGAATTATAATAATATATCTTAAAAAATAAAACAATCATGTTCCAAAATTTTATTTCAAAAGTCTTATATAAAAAAAAATTATCGACAAATTAAAAAAGAAAGGACAAACTAAATCTCAACAATTCAACCCATTAAAAAAAGATAGAGAGAGATGTCGATCGAGGAAAAAAATTAAAAAAATTATAGTAATAGAACTGTGAAAGATGTTATAGCAATGTAACTGTGAATGATCAGTTTAGTAGCTTAGGTCTTAAAAAAAAAAAAAAAAGGCAAGGCCCCGTCCGCCGGGCTCATTTGGTTTAGTTTTTTAGGTAATAACAAAATTATTAAAGAAGAGCTAAGGAGAGCAGATTTCATGAAAAATACTCTATTAATATATATTTTGGCCCGTGTAATCTGCCCCAGCTCGTTTGATACATCAGAGGATAACATCCAAAAAGATGCCCTAGCTTGAAGTAATCAAGCTCGCATCAGCTTTGAAAACTGATGCACATTGAAGATGAGGAAGTGTATCACAAAGACAATTTAGTTGTTAGTCAGCCTCCATGTAAGGACAGCCTTGACCCCCTTACCTGTCAAAAGGTGTAGATCTCAAGAACTCGAGTCATGCTGCCATAAATGGCTCACTTTGGCACCTAACCATGCATTGATTTCACTTTGCCATAAATGTCTTCTGAGCTGGAACCACCCTGGCAGGGTTGGTTAAAATTTTGGAAGAGGGGCTCAGGTTCAGATTTCTCAGTTGTTGCGCTATCGACCTGTCAAAAGAAGCAATCAACACGCTAAGTAGTATTCTACATGTGGCCATGAAATTAATTCTGATGGTGATTTCTAGCTAAATCTTAACAAAGTTTATGTAAGGAAAATATAATAGCCGTAACATAATTTATGGACTCTTCTAAATTCCTGAAATCACAATGAAACAGCAGTCTAAAAAAGTTTTAACAGCAATAACTGATATTTACCTGCATGGTATCGCCGTCCTTGTCACTCAAATAGTTTCCCTTTTTCTGCATCTTTTGCTTCGGATGGACACTTTTTCCCATCTGCCTTGTCACTCAATCCATTCTCTAAGTTGTACAGAGAAAGGAGGAACAGACTAAAAGAAGTTAGCTACGACCTTGGAAATAAGCAATGCAGCTAGTTGTCTTTGATCCTGATCGAACTCATCATCTTCATATAAACTCTCTCTATTAATTAACGAAGAAAACCACAAAAAGTGCATATAAGAACAAAATGATAATGGAACTCAGATACTGAGATAGCATAATAAAAGTCACAACCCAACAACATCAACTCTAAACTATACATTTAAGAACATTAACAATAGGTACCAAATTTCAAGAACTCCAAAGAAAAAAAAAACGATAATGAAATTGCATAGTACTCTGGAAAGCACCACAAATATATTTTCAAAATAAATTCTCTATCAAAAAATCATTAATATCACTCAATAATTACAAGATAAAAAAGATTAAGTTAGAAGGAAAAAATAATCAGTACAAGAAAAGAAAAAAGAAAAAACAAGAGACCATATATCAGTCATTGCTAAAAGGAAACAAAAGCCTCAAAAGAAAAAGTAATAACTACAACTGCAATAAAAACCATTAAAGATGCAAATTTTTTCAGTAATAGAAGACATTAAGACAATGAGTCAGAGATAAAAGAAGCCAAAGTTCCAAATTTTATAACACAAAAGCTTTAAAACCAAAAAACAAGAAAAGGCCCAAAAAACAAAGATTCATGAAGAAAAAGAAAAAGACTTGTGTCTTATTACGTAATGGGGATACCAGTGGAGATTTCAAGCCAAAACTGATCAACATCGTTGTTAAGATTGTGTAAAGGATGCTGCTTTAATACTGGGTTTTTCTTTTTAAACATCGACAGCAATCCAGAAACCGAAGTACTCATTACTTTAGCCATTACAAAAACCAGAAAATTATAAGACCTAGAATCCAATTCTTGAAGAGAAACAAAGATTGAGTGATTAAAAGTGAGACTTTCTAGTGTTTTGTTCTTATGTCTTAATTTTACTTGCAAACAAAGCCAGTTACCTGAGGTAATCAAAATGTAATTCGGATTTTTTTGATTTTGTGTTTGTGTCGGTATATTTTATTTATTTACTGTGAAGCCCTCTATTTAAAATTTTTTTCTCCGTTGTTTGTGTGCGTGATTACAGTCAAGTATACACGATGTTTCAATTTAGTCCTCTGTGTCCTAATTTTAACAATGTCAGCATTCATCTGTCATAAAAATGTTGATTTAAATTTTTTTTTTTTTTTTTTTTAGTTTTACGGTCATGCCACATTCTTAGCCACATTTTGTATGCCAAAACAAAGTCATTCTTTTTAGTTCAATCAAAAATAATTATCCATATAAATATTAAAATATTTATAAGAATTTTATTTTTTTATATTTTGGTCAAATCTTGACAAGTAAAGAAAAGCACACTTCTTTAACAATCTAGTCATCGTTGTTAATTTTTTTTATTAAAATAAAAAGACTTGCATATTTTATCGAACTTAAAAAAATTTCTTAAATATAAAATTAAATGAGGTAGAAATAAATATCAAAAGATGAGACATAAGATTACTTATTGGTTACATAGAATATATAAACGTATATAACCACAACACTGAATGATGAAATATTACAAATGTCTTTAATCAATTGTCCTTTGGTGAGAAACCAATGTGGATGCCATCTCCAAATCCCAAAATAGGGTTTCTACCAATGCTTCCTTGCTTGATTATATTCCACCTGTCAGAAATCAAAATTCAAAAAGCTATTAATTAACAACAATCCACATGCGAAAAATTTGTACAAGAACAAGATTTGAATATATATATATATAGTAAAATGTACCTGTATTTGGTGACCAATTTGTGAAGAAAGATTGCCATTAACAATTTAGTGAATTCTGATCCTGCACATTGTCTCCTTCCTCCACCGAAAGGCATCAAGTTCTTCGAAACAGCGTACGAATCAAATTCCTACATTTTATTAAACATTAACAGCGTTGAGTTCAATATTGAGT